AAGTCCTTGCTCCACCAAGAGCTCTCTTAAAGACCCTTAAAAACATAAACCCATTCTGAAACCCAATTCAGAATGTCCTGAAGGGCGAAGTCTCTTTGTCTATTACACATCCTACCATTGGAAAGGGAGAAACAGCTATTTTCTGAAATATAGAAAGCAAATGGCGAATCACATTTTTACTATTATGGAGAAAGAACCATCTGGATGTTCTGCTTCTGGTATCAAAATGTCTGGGAAATCCTGGCATGAAAAGGTAGCGAAGAGAAGCCTGCTTTTTCAAAATTACTTCATGCAAGATTTTATAGCATTTACAGTTCCTAATGCCAGTTAAGTCTTTCACTTTTCTTTCTCCCTCCTATTTCCTCCTTTCATGTGTCACTTCTGCTTTCACCCCCCATAGGATCCTTCTCACCTCAGAATTATGAAGCACAAATCTGAATCAAATATAGATTTTCAAAAGTACTCACATATGGCTCTCAATTCTTGTCAAGTCAATAATGTTATTTATATTATTTTATAATATTTATATTAATTTCATTTAATTTATATTATTATTTATACCCAATAAAGCAATTTATACCCAACAAAAGAATTTAGGATATCTGGGCCGCTGCTATTGGAAGCTCTGGATAAGCTTAGGTGCTAAAATGATCACATTTTAAATTCCAACACTCCCTATTCCTTGGCAGAAATTCAAAGGCTTAAAGTGACTTTGATTTGTATAGAAAGGGTACAGTTCATCCCTCAGCTGAGTTTTAGCAATTCTCCTCTTCCTTGGGGTCCTCACATCCTACCAACCCTGTTCTAAATTTTATGCGATGTCAGTGTAAGGGTGAAGGGAATCACTGAAAAGTCTCCCCATTCTGACTCTTTCCATTGATGGAAGAAAACTACCCAGATTCTTTCTATCAAATTCAGGTAGGCCAGAATATTAATTTGTATTTCAAATGCCTCATCTCGTTTTTTTATTCTGTGTGAATTACAGGAAGACAGCAGACCTCTTTAAAAAAGTTCTGCTGAGATTCATATGGAAAGAAAACATATAACAAGTAAGTATTAGTTCATCACACAGTACCCTAAAGTAGATCCTTAGTGCCCAAACAGAATAAAGAATAACTAAAGTTGCACCAATTTAAATTGAATGCAACAAGTTAAATTATCTATATGATCTATACACCATAAAGATTTCTTCCAACAAATTATAGTACTTATATCCAATGTTGTTATTTATTTAGCCTACATGATAAGTACACCATTAACAGGGTAATTCTTTCTAATAAGCATTAAAAAACTACCAGCAGCTAAGTATTTTGCATCATATACCACTTTATTAATCATTCTTGTTCCAAACACATATTCAGGAAAATGCAGCCAGATCTATTTCTAACTGAGGCATTATGCACCTGCAAAGTAAGAGAAGCTGGCAATTAACTGGGGTAAAAACACCATTTCCCTCTGAACTTCTATGAACTGTTTATGTAAATAGTAGTTACCTTGGGATTATAACTTTTATCCTCAATAGCTAAAATACTCCAAATACATATCTTAAAGTTTGCTACCAACCAGGAAGTGTGTTGAGATAGGAAACGGAAAAGCAGAGGTGGCTGCAAGACAACCCTTGCCTTCCCGTCTGAGAATGCCAGGCAGAAACGTAACAAATTCCTTTGATAAAGAAACCACTGTGGCTCCCTTAAGCCGCATGTTACAGAATCATCTGGATCCTGAAAGAAGCCAATAAGTAGGTCAGAAGTATACAAATTTTCTTGAGCTGAAGGCCACATCATGCTGGGAACTGCACTATAAAAGAGGGTGTGGCTACATAAAATGCTTTCAATGGAGACAAAGATGTAATTGATTAAATATTAATATTGTTGCAATTAATTGTTTTAACTACTATTTTTCATGTATCCATAACCTCAAAAATAACCCTCTCCCTTTGGTGTAGAGACCATGGAAATGGCCTTGAAGAAATATTCAAAGGCATGAGCCCTGGGAAAGGAAGTTGTATTAGGAAGAGAGTCAGGCTGGTTCCTCCCTGACTCAATGGGGGCATAAGAGGGAGGGGAGGAAAGACACAACCAGACTTGCAAGATTCTATGGCAATAGCCTATCTCAATAAAGGTTTGTCCTAGTCTTCTTATGGAGCCTGTTTCTTGATCTGGACAACTTTGAAGAGTTGACATTTATACATGAATTGATTACCAGGTTAAAAATAAATGAATGTGAGCAAAATAAGTAACAAGTGCACAAAGCAAACACACACGCATACAAGAACGATAGAATGAGGCAGAGGATGTTGGTGTGTTACTGGTGGTCAAGAGTATCTGGGCAGATGGGTTCTGCGTCAGAATCTCTGGTGAGTGCACATGGTCCCCAGGTTACAGGTTGCATACTTTTGAGATAAGGTGAGAGCCATCATCCTTGTGCCATCAAAATATGTTACTGGCATTTTCCAACCACAGGTAAAATGTGGGAGTCATCCATGCATAACATCATGACTCCTGGGTGTCTTTATAACTGCCAGGGACAAGACTCTAGAATGTCTACTGTTATCACCATTTTGTCTCATCATTACACCAGTTCTTATGCTTTTTATTTATTTACCTACATAAGTGCAGAAGTAACCACTACATGAAATGCTGTTATTCTGGTGTTCATGGTGTAACCAGGACCCTAAGATTAGCTCTCAGGTCTATATTATCTTACTGGTCTCTTCTTTCATTGCAACAAACATTCCACAATCAGCAGATTTTACTCAGAAAAGTCAGGACAGATCTTATATCATGAGACCAACCTTTCTTGCTGACTAAGCAATGGTGTTACCTTTCAAATCTACATAACTGTGCTTCATGCGGTGCAGAACTTTTTGCACTGCAAGAGGCCAGGTGGAATTAAGTTCTGAAGATAGATGAAAGGTAGAAATCTCTAACAAGAACAACTTAATATTTAATAAGTGGCACTACCCTTATAGTACTTTAATAAGTATGGTACTACCCAATATACCCTTGTGCAGTATATTTCTGTAATATCAAAGAAAGTAATTAAGATATTTTATAAACCAACATCTAATCATGATCCCTCAATTAAACATAAAACCTTAAGACGCAGTCACTAATTTGATGATATATCTGCACTAACACAAGTTCCAAGATAGGAAGGTATTTATACAACAATTCTGCCAACTGGAAAATAATTAAGTTGCTGTTACTTCAAAAATTTCCTTGTTTCCTCCAACACATGATCAGTTAAGCAGAACTGAATAGTAGTCCTTCAAAACACAGAAATTCACCCTTGGGGAAGGGACAGATTTGCTGTCCAATGCAGTCTAATGAGATTACCCTCCTTGACGCAGTCAAGAGTTCTTTTTTGCTGAAAGCAGGGATGATATTTGCCTCTTCACCACAGAGCACTGACTGCTGATACTTCAAGTTTGTATTTGTATTTCCATAGCCACATCTTACGGAATACAACTGTACCTTTCGCATTTTCTGATTGATGGGTGATTGCAATCTGAGCTAAGAATAATTAACAAGTTTTACAAGGGTGTTGCTCAAAGAACATTGCTTCCTGGATGCCTCAACAAAAACGGAACATGAGGCATTATCCAGTTGGTAACTATACAGTAAAGTAGATGAATGATACTTTTTTGAGTTTAAAAAAGCAACCATATGCATGTTTACTTAAATGCAATTCCCTGTCATTCACTGGGGCATACACCCAGGAAAATGTGGATAGTATTGCAGTCTAAATGTGTTAGTTGACTAGGGATATTTGCCAGAGTCAAGGAAGATTATGCATGTATATAAATCCTGGAAGAGTTTGCTCAGTGAATTGCAGAAGGAGCAGAGTGATTGAATGGCTGCAGACAATTGTTAAGATCATACAAACTTATAGGACTACATTCCTATACTGAATACTATAGGCCATCATCAATGTTTGGACTGGGATCTAGAGCAGAAAGCCACATTCAATCATCTTTTAATTGCAAACCCCAGTTCAGTTCTAACTAGAGTAAGACTTTGTTATAGAAGAGTCCCATCACTGCAGTCGCTGCCAATCCAAGACACCTCCTTAAAACCACACCAAAGTGCATATTCATCACTGAGAGGAGCATCCAGTTTTAATACGGAGTTGCTTCAAATGAACTGACATATGCATTCACATATGTACTGTCAGTCATTTTCTAATGCAAAACAGGCAACCTGGTGCCCTCCAGATGTTTTGGGTTTCGACTCCCATCAGCCCTAGCCAGAATGCTCAGCGGCAAAGGGTTCTGGGAATTGTGGTTCCAAAGCATTAGACTGCCTTTCCCTGCTAGAGTGCAACCAGCTCGTGTGTAAAGGGCCAGCCAGTATGATCTCCTCCAGCAGCGGCAGAGATTTGCAGAGCACCGCGCTGCAGCACTTGTTGCAATTCTCTGCGCTTCTGCTGGGGAAAACAAGCAGCGACTGGTTCGCAGCCTTTCTTTTAAAACTCGCGATAGGCCGCCTCACCTCTTCGCCTTTTCCATTTAACGCCCAGAGCCATAACGGTAAAGCAAAAGAAGGGCGGATGCACGTGTAGCCCGTCCGGAAAGGCCTTTTGGGGGAGGAAGAACCGAGCCAACAGACAAAAGGGGCTCCCTCCCATTTGCACAAACGCTGCCCGAACGCTGCTTTTTCCATCCCCGCCCCGGCCGGCGCCTCTCGGAGTAGCCCTCGATGTCTGTCAGCGGGTTTCAGCCAACCACCGGCCGCTGCTCCCGATGCCAGGATGGGGGGAAACCGGGCGCTCTCGAGGAGGCGACAGTGCCTACCTTCTGATACTCTGCCCGCCGAGGGTCGTGCTCTAAACTAGCCGGCGCTGCGCCCCAGATTGAGAAGTGCGCGCCCTGGCTCCCTCCCCGGCATTTTTCTGCCCTACGAGGAAGATCCGAATCCGGGAGCATCCGCCCTGGGAATCAACAGCTGTGCGCCCACCCCACCCAGCTGTCCCCACCTCGGAGGCAAGAGAGGGCCCACCTGGCCTGGATCCTGCGCGAAAGACTTGTCCGGACCCGCGCGTCGCCTTCCTCGCGCCCTCAGCAGCCGCGGGCAATTTAAGGGAGCGAGCGAGCGATGGATCCCGGCGGCAAAGAAGGTGGAGAGAGAGCGGCGGCCGCTCAGTCACGCTGCAGAGGCGGGCGGGGAAGGACGAAGGGGCGGGTCCAAACTGCGGGCTCAAGCACCGCTCGAGGAGAGAAGAAGGGGAAGGCGAGAAGAGCGCGGTCTCCAGCTAAATTGTGGGCTGACTGTGACGTAGCAAGGCTGGCTGGAGGCAAATGGGAAGGGATCTAGGAAGGGGGGGGACTCGTGACGTCATGGCGATGTGGCGCGAGGAGGAAAAGGGGGTACTTGAAAGACAATGGAAAGTCCGGGAAGGAAGAAGAGATCAAAGAAAAAAACTCTTGTGCCTGCTTCGCAAGCGCAGCCCTACATAGGTTTCTGGGGAGGGGCGATGGGGGGGCACACAAAGATGAGAGGGGTTACTCCTAAGTAAAGCTGTCGTCTTCTGCAGAGTTAGGGATATCTAAACAATTGCACCCTTAACTATCCTTAGACGGTAGCAGGCGTTGAAGTGTCATAGCTCAGCGCTATGGCTGCAAGTTGATGGCTGTTGGGATCGCTGTCTATAAAGGTTTCAGCCGTAACGAAGTCGGCTATTCACACGGAAGGTAAAGCGACACGTGCATCTGACCCTAGACATCAGGGCGCGCAGAAGTCGTGCCCTGCAATTCAGAATCCTGCATACTGTAGGCTATGTTCATATAACACTAGGTGGCTTACGAATAAAAAAGATACGCTTGCACCACGTGCCAAGCCAACTTAGTGTTAACCTTGTTTTTTAGCATTTTGTGTGAATCCAGCCCGTTTGCCTAACTTGTGGATCAGTGCACTGTGCAAACCCAGAAAGGAATAAGCAAATAGGTGAAGCGTGCTTCATGGACGCAGCCAGAGATGGCAAAGCGGCGTCGTGGAAGCCCACCGCGAGAAACAAATCCGTTGCAAAACGCTACTAGGTATGAGTAAACCGTGCGCCTGCCGAGAAATGACGCTAAGAAAAAAAGTGGGAGGACTGAAGACAGGACGGGATTGTATTGGGAGCAAGATGTGCACAAGGGCGTGGATGTGCGGGACGCACACATATGTGACCTGACTCCCATCCCCAAGAAGCCGCTTGCTTCATCGTCGCCCCTTGTTTGCTGCAGCCTTGCTGGGCCCCAGGAGGCGACAGCAATCTCCCTCGCCCTCCCCTTCGGATCAGCTCTTTGCACCTCGAGGAGAACGGCGGCGCTGGATCTCCCCGCGCGCTGAGGCGTATCTCCG